TGTTTATCATTTTACCTAACCATGAATTGAAAAATGTTTCTATGCCATTTGTAGTGTAAATTTGGCAAAATTAATATTTAATATTGGATGCAATTATTATTCACATGTATATCATTTCATACATTGATCACTGGGTCAATAGTTTCTTACTCTCATATTATACCAGAGAACTTTTATAAAAAAACAAATATTTATCCAAAACAAAGCAATCAAGGAACAAAATCGAAAACTTATTTCAGGTTTGCTACACCTTAATGATTAAGTAACTATGTACATTTTCAGAAATTTACAGGATAATGTAACTATGGATATTCTGGTTTAGTCATTACTCAAGAATTTAAGTAATGAGAAAATTTTTTTTTTCCAATGAGTAAGCTATAACTATTATGTCAAGTAAGACATGTTGATATGCAAAAGACCCCACATTGCATAATAGTATGACGAATTTGTAATACATTGATGCTGTTAGTAGCCCATAAGTGAATCCCAGGTAAAATCAATGTCACATGAAAAAAATTTTTGATATCTTGTGACATATACATATAGACTTTTGCATTGTGACGTTATGTTTACATTTTAGCCAACCAGTATGCGAATATGTGATATGTCACTTATCGGCAATATACCTAACAAAAAGTTGTTTGTATGTTATTTAATAAACACACGCATATACATGTACATTTAATAATGACAACAACGAACAATATTTTATCTTTGTATTGGGTTATTGCCAACCAGTCACTGTGCGACAGTGTATATTCAATGCATTCGATTGTCTGTTCTAATTTTGATGACATGATTAGTCTAGACGTAGACGAGGAATAACACTTGACGGAGAACAGCTGGAGGAGGTAAATGAGTACAACTACTTAAATCGACTGCTGACCTCAGAGAACGAAATAGCAAAAGAGATTGACCAAAGACTAACAGCAGGTTGGCAAAGATTTGGACAGTATAAAACATTCCTTAAGGATAAAAATTGCCCATCTTCTTGAAAAGGAAAATCATGATTACTGACATCCTACCAGCAATGACATACGGAGCGGTGACATGGTCACTCACAAAGCATCAGAAAGAAAAGCTAGCCGTGGCTAGCATGGAAAGATC